TTAGAGATGATCTACATTGGGTATGTTACGTTGGGGATGCATGAACTTTGCGTTTACTTGTCTTTGTGAACTGCATCAAGTTGTGCATCTTGAATATGCCCAATTTTGTTTTCGTATGTCCTTTTTGCAGCCTAGTAATTCTGTATATAAAGGGTGGTCCGACTACCTTCACGGAAAATAATCTTTTCCCTAGAATACTTGTGTTAAATAAAAGTTTTTTTTTTCAAAATAAATATTCATTCATTCATTTTATATATCAATATCTTGCTTCTAACCGGTGTTTATTGTCTTTATTTCTACCAGAGATAGAAAAAAAAATTGCCGACCAGATAGCTACTTTTTTCAAGAGATTTCGGTTACAAAAGTATTACGGTAATTATATAATTTTTTTTTTTTTACTATGTAATCCGAGTTTATGTTTGTATAAAATGTGTAGTGGTGTATATACATCTGTATATACATCTAGGGATGTCGAACCGGTCAGCTTGATTTAAAATCAAATATAACGATAACGATAATGATAAATTAGATATAATTAAGTTACTTGAACTATAACATTCCTATAAATATTTAATCTTCATTACATGAAATTATAGTGGAAACAGTGTTGAAAGTTTAACTTTTCGTTCCAAACATACATTGCTTCCTTTATTTTTGTGTTCTCAAATTATAAAATATCAACGTTCACAAACGTTTTTGAGAGCACTTCAATATAATTTTCAACGCTGTTGCGGGCTAAGTCCACTTAATTTGATCAGTTAAATTAGGATAGAAATTTAAAGAATCGGTTTTCGAATTATGTAGTCGCGTACAATAAAAGGGGATTGCTTATTCAAAAGATTTTTTAAATACAATATGTTTAATAAGAAAATTTTATTTCATATAGTAAAATAAAAAAAAATTTACTTATATTTTACAAAAAAGAATTTTAAAATACTGTATGTTTTAAGAAAATTTTATTTTCATATATATAATAAAATAAGATTTTAAAAAAGAATTTAATTATATATTTTAAAAGAGTAAAGCCTAGTTTCAGTGGTTTCAGTTTTTATTTAACAAAAAAATACATATATATATAGTTTTATATGGATAACAATTATAAACCTCATTTAGACTATGATGGGGTGAAAATTGGTGGTAATGTTACAGTACGTAGGAATAAGCTATTGGTATCGCGCATTGTTTCTGAAGATAGGAATTTAAATATCTAATATACGTATACGTACGTACGTATCTAATGCAATCTAAAAATATAAGAAAATCATTAATATACATACTTATAAATAATAGTACGTAAAAGCATAATATATACGTATATATAAATAGATATATATAAATTTTATGTAAAGTTTTGAGAAAAATCAAAATCCCAAAATTATTTTAGATCAGCACATATATATACGTGAGTATCTACGTACCAACATATAAACACTAATTTGTGAATAATATGTTGTCAGTTTGTGACCACTGTTTAGATAATATTCCAGATTTCCATGTCGTACGATCGATTTCTTTTTTTTTTTTTTTTTTTTCGTTGTCTTTTTGTTTGTTATGCAAATCCCCTCTTAATAAGTGGGTCGTTGTTGAAAATCGATTGTAGTTGGCGTGCTATATATATAAATTAATTCAAACTTTAAAATCGTTAACAATGGACATCACCAATAAGGAAGAAAACAAAAAAAAACAACAAATAACGATAAACCAGAATCTTCAAGAATCTTACAGGATTAAGACTGGCCAATGATCATCATTGAATTTATGAACACGAGACAAAAAGCACGGACCTTTCGCGTTTAATTTAACTAAAAAGACTAAAAAGATAACAGATAAGAATGATTATTATTATTACTACTATTATTATTATATTTTTTTTATTTTTTTACGGTGAGAATTATTATTATATAAGTTAATAATAATAATTATTATAATTATATAATTATTATAATTATATAATTATTATAATTATATAATTTTTATTATTTTAGAATAAAAACAAACAGATAAAGATAAAATTGGTTTTTTTTTTTAGCAAAATCGTTAATTCACACTAACTTATAAATAAATGAGAGTAGTAATTAACAATTTTACTAAGAAATTCATAATATACCCTCTGATTTTATACAATAAAGTTTTATTGTATAATAAGATACCAGACAAATTTTACACTCACCTATATCAGAAACAAGATTCTAAACTCATATATAGTTCTCATTCTGGAAATTGTACCCGTCAAGAAAATTCCTACCCAGGTATTATTAAATTACCCGGGTTATTCGGGTAATTCTGGTCACATAACAGCAATTGCTACCTCAATAAATCATTTATTCAGGTAATTCATTATGGTCATATAACAACACAAATTGCTACCCTGATAAATAATCATTTATTCAGGTAATTTCATTATGGTCATATAACAGCACAAATTACTACCCTGATAAATAATCATTTATTCAGATAATTCATTATGGTCACATAACAACAATTGCTACCTTGATAAATCATTTATTCAAGTAATTTATTATGATCACATAGCAGTAATTCCTACCCAAATAAATAATTCATAACTCTCACACTCTGAATTATACACTCTGAATTATACACTCTGAATTAAACATTCTGAATTATACACTCTGAATTAAACACTTTGAATTGTCAATTAATTGTTATTATATACGTATGAAAGTTATTAGAAGGTTATAACTAAAAAAAAAAAAATTTCAAACCTTTAAATTAAATCAAACCTTTAAATTAAACCAAGAATCTTTTATTGGAGATGCTTGATTATAAGCAATTGACCAACCAAAAACTATAAGATCTATTTGATGTAAAGTGATTCGATTGGTTAATGGCCTAGAGATACCTGGAGACAAAAAAGAAACGCTTGTTTTATAATAATTAACTATAGATATTCGAAAATGGAATTGTATCGTACCACAGTTCAAAAATAAATCGAATGGTCGTTTGTTTCTAATAATAAAAGAGAAAAGAAAATTTCCTTCATACATAAACAGTAGAAAGGTTATGTTTTTTCACAAAAAAAAAAAAAAAAAAAGAATAATCAACCATTAGATTTTACAAAGATACACTCGAAAAAAAACCTTAAACAAACTGATGCATTGAAAAAAACTTTTTTAATAGGATACAATAAAAGTTATGCATAATCTTTTCTTTAAAAAAAAAAAAATTAAAGGATACAACTTAATTAAATCTTAAAAAAGTGTGTAAAATAAAACGAAACGAAACGAAACGTAAACGAAAAGATTTATAAACGTAAGAGAGCAATAATATATAAATAATTTTGATTTCTTTTTTAAGAAAGCACTAACAAAATAAATTATATACAAATTTTTCGACTATAAAAAAAAAAAAAAATAGTATAGTATAATATATATAGCATTTATCTTTACCAAAAACTTTGCTAAAGTTAGGAAAAAAAATAATAAGGGTTCATATACATATACATATGCATATCTATGTAAAAGTTGGTACAAAAAAAAATTATTTATAAACGGTAATTTACATAAAAAAAAATTATAAAAAAAAAAAAAAAATTGTTCGTAATATTATATATAGAGCGTTCTTTTTACAAAATACTAATATTAAGAAGAAGAGGAAAAAAAAAAAAGAATTCGAAATAACCTGTTTATTAGTTTTCTAAAATATTATAACTAAAAGTAATCAAAATCAATTTGTTTAATATCTTCGACAGAAACAATTAAATCTGTATGTTCAACACCGACTATAACCTCCCTAACAATATCACTAGGTACATATTCCAATGCACCATCGGATGCCCGGATAACAAATTGCTTGCCAGCTGGAGGGGAAGCTTTTATCGCGAATGTAATTAACGACGCGAACGTTGTTGCATCACTCACAGCTATTTTTTGTTTGTACACCGTCGTGGTAGAGCGAATGGTAACGGACTTCAAAATAGGGAGATCTATAGAAAGATAAAATAAGATTAGTGGGTTTCAAAAAAGTACAATGTAAAAAAAGATGTACGGGCAGTACGGGCAGTGCCGTAGCAGTACAGTTATTCAAAGTTTTGAAAAAGTACCAGATCTACTGTCCATATATGTTATTCTGCTTGTTGATTTACTTTGTGAACCAAAAGGCTCCGGACTAGTACGAAAACGTCCAGAAATGTTTACTAAATTTAAATGAAATGATCTGCATGAATGCTTATATGACTTGTAAGATAAAAGGGGAATTGAAACAAACAACGGCCGAAGAAACTAATGTGTGGTTCCTTAATGGTCAAAAACAAAAAAAAAAAGGCACATAATTGATATGTAATTGATATGTAATTAATCTGAAACCCTACCAGGATCTGCATTACGATAAACAACCAATTGAACATCTTCACGGTCATTAAAACTAGTCCAAAATCGATTAAAAGTTGATTCATCGAATAAGCCGAAATGCTGTGGATCGTTTTTTGTTCCAATTCGATAATAGAGTTTTAAAGTATCAACGGAACCCCAAGATTTTGGAAAGTTTGTGGAAGAAACTTTAAGATATAATTGACGAAGATTCTGTAATGGTTCATTGGAGTTTAGATTGTCAAGATTTATTTTGACACATTGATCTAAGAGAGTAAATGGAATCTTTGTAGTATCAAAACAGACGGTAGGTATTAATTTAGAAGAATTTTCTTGTTCTATAAGTTAATATGATAATGAAAATAATGAAAATAATGAATATAATTAATATAATTAATATAATTAATATAATGAATATAATGAATATAATGAATATATATTGTTGACAATGACAAAATTGTGACGCGGTATACATAATGAATTGCGTGCATTTTAAAAAATTAGAAATACCTCTAAAAGAAGTCATATCGCTTTCAATGTGATCAACGTCACTTTCATCGATAGTAAACAAATCAGGAATTCTATTATCAATTGTCATTGCTTCAGGTACAGATGCACTGGATGACATAATAGTATCTAATGTATCAGACGTTGACATAATAGGTTGAGAATTAGAAGATTTCAACATTTCATCTTCATGAGATCTTAATTCATCCAAAGCTTTCTTAATAATTGGACCGAATATATGACCATCCCAACCGAAACCTAGAGCAATATTATAAGCTTGAATATGTTGTAAATATTGTTCCAAAGAACCAGCTTTTATAAGAGCTTTTCTTTTAGAATCAATATATTGTTGTAAAGAATCTTTTGTAATAGGAAAATAATTTATTGATTCGCCGGGATGTAAACTTTTTATTACGTTAATAAAATTCGTGACTCCAACTCTTGAAGCTCTTGTATTAATGCTCGGAGATCTTTTACCACGTTTACGATCTTTATCGGTAGAAGGTGACGTAGATTTATCGCTTTTAGCTGGAGACGATGGATCTTCATCTTCGGAAGACGCGGATGGAATATGTTGAGCCTCCAGAGATTGATGTTCTCGCATTGGAGGCATTCTGGGAAAAATTGGACAAAAAAATTAAGTAGGAAGAGTGACAGACCGTTTTCTTTATTACTATTATTTTGATTGGATTTAGTAGTTTGAATTAAAAATTCTAGTGGGAATTTTCGAATTAAAGAAAAAAACGATCATGACACAGCTAAAAAAAAGATAAATGAATATAAATAATACAACATTGAAAAAAAATAATAAACGAAACCGAAAAGAGAGAAAAAACTTTTTTTAATTTATTTGCGGACAAGGAAGGCAAAATGTAAGTTCAAAGGTGAAATTGAACATTCTAATATTATTTATATTAGTTTTTATAATTTATACAATTTATTACTCTTACTCCATTTTTTTTTTTTTTTTTTTTTATATATAAATATATATCTATACACAGCATACATATTTAATTAATATATAGATACAAAATCACAAATAAAAAAATATTTTATATTACTATTTGAGATGTAAAGCCGTTTTTTATTCAAGGGTTATGAGACTTATTTAAGTTTAAAAAGCGCCACATACCGAAGCCAGTTGCCGGATCTTAAATTCACGTGATCTTAAACCGCGTGAAATCAAATTAATTAATTAAGAGTAATAAAGTAATCAAATTAAGAGTAATAAAGAGTAATGAGCAATAGATATTTATATCACTATTGATAATTGCTAATAATTTATGTAAATGAACAAATATATATATATATATATATTTTTTTTAATTGGCTCTTTTAAAATAGTGTAAAATAGTGTAAAATAGTGGAAATACGAATCAAAAATTATAAATGATAAATGTGACAGAGTTAATTTAAACGAAATAAGTTTACTGCCTAGATTTAGTTTTCTTTAAACAGCGCAGAAAAATCAATTTCTTTACGAAGATAAAACTTATTAGAGTAACACTTAATTAATATACCTTAGCTATATTATATATATATATATATATATATATATCTTTCTCTCTTGTTAACCGATAATAGCAAACAATCGTTAAATGCTGCACTATCGCTATGTAGAAACAACAATAGAATTTATTGTCCCAAAGTTTTATTATATCCATTCTATCACGTGTTAAAAGTTTGTTCCACCGGGGAAATCAAAATTTAAAAAAAAACAAGTTTTTTTTAATTCAAATTTTTTTCGAGAGGTACGTAGTATATAATTTTGGTTTAAACGGGCATTTATAGAATCACAAAATCATAAATCATAAATCATATAATAAGAATTCATAAATCATATAATAAATAATAAATCATATAATAAGAATTCATATAATAAATAATAAATCATATAATACTGTAATAAGAATTCGTAACACGATAGTTTTGTGACAACTTTGACCAATAAGCATTTTTAAATTCATTTAATTCGAGTAATTCCATAAATTAAATATGATAAACATGATAAACTGGATAAACTGATAGATGTAATATTGTAAAGTAAACGAAAGTAAATACAGTAACTACACTAATTATGTATTATGTAAAGTAGACGAAAAGAATATGGTATGGCTAAAGTCAAATTACTAATTAATAATACGCCTAAAATTGAAAAGCGCAGGGGACGGATAATTTTCGGGGTTTGCCCTCTCAGCATTAGACCATAAAAAACGATGTTACTGATGTTACTATATTTATATTACCAAGTACATCCAAGTACATAATCGGTAAATTAAATCCTGGTCCGTTGCTGAGTAAATAAGAAAGCTCCGGATAACGGGCAAACAACTTACGAGCCTTGTGGTTACACATTACCTGCGAAAATCAATCCTTGTCTTCCAAACTAGTTGGAAGATATCGGATTTGGAATTTAAAATAAAATAGCATATATCATCTATGTCACATAGTTATTAAAAAAAGAAGCAACAGTTTGCATTTATAATGGGTATCAAGCTAAAATAAATACGAATTTTAAATGTAATTACGCATAATTTTGGGATAAACATTATTAATCATATATCTGTAAATTAATCACATATTAATTACATTACACATTAAAATCATACAGTATAATGAACATATATTAAATAGAGAAATTAATCAGATGCTTCAAAATGAAAAAGAAGGGAGAAACTAACCTCAAAAGTAAGATTTAGGGACAAAAAAACAAATATTTAAGGTAAATGCGTTGATTAATATGAATTCGTCGGATAAGAACGAAATTGGAGACTTTCGTAACTGCCGAATTGGGAAAAGGAGTGTTCTCTACGGTACTATTTGCCTTACATGCTAGTTGGTATATGTACATGACTAATAACACTGTAAATAATATACTATAATATCTGTAATTACTGAAATAAATATATACTATAATATCCGTAAATATATATCTACTATAATATCTGTAAATACACCTGTAATATGCGTACACATTCAGCCAACGAGTTAAAACACTTGTTTCCTTGCTTTTTATCGTGATTAATTAGTATGAACATCACAAACAGCTTTAGCATCATGATGGTCCCCATGCACCTATTCGGTCTTAGAACTCCAGTATCATTTAGTAAAATAGTAACATTAAATTACATTAAATTACATTAAAAATTACATTAAATTTTTTTTTTTACACATATTTCCCTTCTCGTCTTTTTCGGCCCTATTCTACCTATCTATCTATTAGATCAACAACTCACAAACTCAATCAGACATCCTTTTTTAGTTCAATAGAACCAAGTGCACTTTGGATTTTACCAATTTTATACATCGCGCGAAAAAAAAAAACAAATCAAACATATATATAATAAATATATAAAAAAAAATAAAATAAAATAAAATAGCAGTCGCGTCAAATTAAATATAGATTGTTTACGTGTATTATTTCAAAATATAATGTGCACACAATGTATCACGGGGGGTATATGCATGAAGGTTTGTAAAACAAAAAAAAAACAATTAAAGTTTTACGCTCGTGATTTTATGGTGCTGGTTAGCTCATGCGTCATATGTAATTTGGTCTCACACCTTTATGAATCAGATCAACACTCCTCTGGGGAACAAGATGTGTGAAAAAATGATTTGTGTAAATAATCAGGTACGTACGTACGTACATAGGTAGGTACAACAGTTTTGAATAAATTTTACCGAAATAAATTCCGAAAATGCATTGTCAACTTTATTATACAAATTTATTATACATTTAATGAAATAATAGGCTTGCCTAGATAGGTCACTTTTCATCTGTAAGCTTTCTTTGGATCTCATGTTGTGCGTGTGTAAATTATATTCTAATCTGTATTCTAATCATTTACCTTCATATATAAACATAATCTTTCCGGATTGGTTTTTTTCGTCTGACCCATAAAAGTATTCTCATTAAGGTATCCTCATAAAAAATATTCTCAAAAAGTATTTTTCAAACAACACATGCAAAGTACGAATACAAAATACGAATACCAAATACGAATACCAAATACGAATACAAAATACGAATGCAAAGTACGAATGCAAAGTACGAATGCAAAGTACGAATACATACGTATTAAAATTAAATACTGTATGTTAAATATGATAAGTTTGATAAACGTTTAAGCTATTTGGTAAGCTATTTAGATTTAGTAACCAAACCCACAGAAATATGCAAATATGCAATATATATTATTTATTTTCATTTATTTTCTCACTTTTACACATTAATTATCGCTATACTACACCATGTGTATTCTCTTACAATTACTGAATTAATTATTGAATTATGAATATATTACATGAATTTATACGATACGTAGTAATAGTAGAAACAATATAAACAATATAGATTACATAATACAATATTCTCGCATTTCATCTTAAGTCCATTCATTCTAAATTTGACACATTACAGAATCTATGAGAAAACTAGATTTTCCAAATAGAGATTCATGAAAAAAAACCATACTTGCTTTGGATTTATTAAAGTGTGCATTTGACAAAAAGTATGTACATACGGTGGATGAATCATTAGATAGAGGGTGTGTACCGTGCACATTTAACCTCACTTATTTTTGCTTATTTTTGCTTATTTTTGCTTATTTTTCATGATCACGATTATAGCATGGTTATGATGGTGTTACATTCGATATGTTCGATATGATCCTGTTATTCCTGTTATTACTGTAATAACTGTCAACGTTATTAGTTTGGTTTATATCATTTAAGAATGTTATTTGTTTATATATATATATAAATATATATATATATGTATATATAGATATATATGTACATATGTATATCTATATGTATATATAGATGTATATATTTATATAGATGTGTGTATATATATATATCATGATCATAACATATACATCATGGTATGTAAAAATTAATGTATTTTATTTTGGTAAAAAGGCGTTAAAGACAGAGAAAAAAGATTAGATTTTACTATTAGAGCCTGGAGCCTATTACCACGTAACGCCATGACTGTCAAGATATAAAGTTTTTTTTTGCGATTTAATCTAAGCTGTAAATAGTGACTAATCAAAGAATATTCGGTTGATCTCATGATCTCATTCAATTATTGTTATGAGTGGAGGCGGAGCTGGGTATCAAGTAATTCCGATGGTGTGTAACAGCTCTTAAATCTAGATTACGAATAACTGATGTAGATGATGGTCACTTTAATAAAACTTAAAAAAAAATAAAGTTAAGGGGTCCACAAGCTTAATTGGACACCGACTTTTAGTAACTTTTCCGTATATTACTACGTACTATATTACTACACTATATTACTATATACTATATTACTACGTACTATATTACTACACTATATTACTATATACTATATTACTACTATATTACTATATAGTATGTATACTATGTACTGTACGTATACTATGTATACTAATTATACTATGTATACTAATTATACTATGTATACTAATATGTATACTATGTATAGATTTTATAATACTGTATACGTACGTACGTACCTACGGCTCCGGATATACCGATACAATAATGACTTTATAATGTAATTAAATGTAATAATAATAATAATAATAATAATAGTCTTTATCGATAATGGCTAGTTTATTTTTGTACACAAATAAATAAATTTATATACCTATTACAGTATTAAGTATTATAAATATTATTACTTACGTTCAGGGGTCGATCTTTAGAAGCAACGTTCGTTGTACGATTTAATAAAAATATAAAAAATATATAGCAAGGAGTTATATAAATCATGCCATGTTTAATATTGATTTTAATAAATGTAATAAATGTATGATCGTATGATCTTGATTAAAAATTTAATATGCGCGATTTTTGAACCCTCTGAAATTCTGACGATTCTGACGATGCATAAATTACGTAACCTCCTTTTAATAATGTATGCGCTTGTGAACACGTTCTAATGTCTTTTGGACATTTACGATGAATCGCGTAACGCTATTACTTTGTTGCGGAGTTTAAATTGTTTATGTTTTTAATTAATCCTGCAATACCCTCATAAAATCAATAAACTTAACGCATTATGTAGAACCGCCATTGTGTAAATTATGCAGATTTTGACGTTATGGTTTATTCTTGTCATTATTATTTATTGATCATACAAGTTTCTTTGTTGAATTTCTAAACGTGTTTACCATAAACAATCGGATTATGCTTAAATGAAACTTAAACTAACGTGTGAAAATTTTACGATTCGTCCCCATCAATTTTTTACTTTAAACGGGTTTATATATTATTTTGAAATGTCACACATTAGGTTTAAAATTATACTATATATATAATTAGATAAATATGTACATTGTTATATTTTCAATGTTGCATTATACGTAACTGTATGCGTTTAAGTATGAATTAGTATGAATTCAGTATAATGTTCCAACTGTGTGAAACACGGAATTAATATATATACTGTTTGAACATCTGAATAATCATCTGAATATTCATTTATATATTTATTTATTATATATTTTATTCTTATTTATTTTATTTATATGTCATTTACCAAATAGATCAACGAAGCATTGACTATAATCTCGCGTGCAATGATTACTTTTTCACAAGATCTGATTACTCAATAAATATATAAATACTCTTAAAAATACGTGCTAAAAATTTTACTCCGTTTAAACTTTATCCCATATATGCCTTATGTCATATACGTGTATTATTATCTTTATTATCTTTCTTTATTGGCTTTTGATCTGACGTAACTTTTGTGTCAATCACGATTGACGTATCAACTTTATTAGTCACATGACTCAAGTCACGACTATTAACCTATATATATATATATTTCTATATTTCTTTATTCCATTTTAAAATACACATTTAATATCATCAATATCATCAATATCGTTTTTTTTAATTCTTTTGTCTTGTAAGTACTTTTCTACTCTTGAATCCTTTTAATACCCTCTTAATTTTATCATCATTCCTAAAGTCCGTCATTTATTCCTAAATTTGCAAATTTGCAAATTTGCAAAATTTGCACGGGTTGTACGTATTAAAAAATTTTATTTAAATCTTTCACTTATATAGGATGGATTGTCAATATGATCCGGGTTGTTATAATTAACAAAAATATCTAGCGTTAGTTAAAATATTTCTCTCCTTGTCAACTTGATTAATCTTAAATCTAATCCTTGATTTCATATTTCAATTTATTTTAGATTACTAATCTAATTACCTGCCTGAATCTTTACCTCTGTATAACCGTATATGATAGAATAATAAATAGTTAGGTTTTCCGTATCTTATCAATTAAAGATTATATTATGATTATATTAAAGATTATTCGCCCCTGCCACAACCTGTACCGTAATGTTTCTTTTTCTACTGTACTGTATATTTCCTTTAAAGTAATTAAAATCTATTACTAATCCCTAATTTTAATTCTATTGTAGAATACGTGGAATATGTGAAACTTTATGGGTCTGTTTCTTTCGCTTCTAAAATCATTCTCTATAATCACTCTTTGTTTGTTGACAACATAAAAAATTATACATAAAGGATACATCAACTGCGGATACATTACATATATTTTTTAATTGGTTCAAGTAATATAAAAAAAATTTGGTTCGCTGAGTCCATTTATTTGAATATTGTTGATCATATTCTTTTTCATACTGTACAAATTTTTAATAATTAACAAACCCGGGACTGTCCGTTGATACGGTGAGTAGATGATCTAACTATAATAAAACTTTGACAGGCATCATACGTATTATTTTTTTACGTACATACTATAAATAATCGGAATTGGTTCTTCTTTTTTAACCTTAGCTATTATTATTCAGATAAATAATACGTACGTACGTACGTACGTATGATTTTTTCTTAATTAATATTTTACGTATACGTAGCTATTTATAAATGTATGTACGTACAATATATCGTTATGCATATGGACTTGGTTTGAATTAACCTTATCGTTATTGTATATAATATTGTTCAAAATAATAAAATAGAATAGAATCTTAATTTTTTATATAAAATAATAATTCACCGTGTATGTTGCTTTTTTTAACAGTTAAAGAATATATTAATTGGGTTCAATATACTACGTAAACACAATACGTACTCACCCAATTCTTGTAATATATAAAAATAATTGTCAATATTTGAAAATTTTAATACTGTATATAATTTTATTAAGTTTATTAACCCATTTTTATTAAACATTATAATCCGTTGTAATATTTTATAGAATATTGTAATAAAATAATTATATATAATTATATATATTTATATAAGGGTATTTTATTATTATAGCTAATAAAATATGATCAAGTGATTAGAATTAAATAATTTTAATCTTATTAGATTTGTCTATTAAGACGAACCAATTCTATTACCTGAATCAAGAGATATAATTGCTCTAACGATGATTCAAAATTAGATGAAGATATTGTGGTCAATTTTTGCAATTTTTTTTTGCCAATGAATAACTTTTAATCCACTAGTCCGTTTTGGAATGAGACAATTCTGATGAGCCTAAGATCGTTGAAATCCAGTCACAGAATTCCAAGATCGTTAAGAATTTATGCATCAAAATTTGCAGGTTTTATATATTAATTTATTTGCAAGAAGACAAATCTATAACGTTCGCTGGATCTCGTAATTGGATTTTAGAGGTTTTATACTCGTTAAAATCGTCTCATCGAGACGGTCATTTTGGAGGTAACGCATCCAAAACGGGCTAATGTATCAAAAGTTATTTAATGTTAAAAGATCTATATATTTTTAATAAGAAGTTTAAATATGCTCAAAAATTTATATTTTGCATAAATTATAAATTTAGCAATTGGAATCTGATGATTTTTACACTATTAGATTTGTCTTAAAAGCTAAATTAAATAATACAAAATTATTTAATTTTAATTATTAGATCTTAAAATATTAAAATTATTTATAATATCTTTTTTATTTATAATATTTTTATTCTTTATATATATACTACATTATAAAATAATACTCAAAGATATTATTTTTTTTATTTTAGGATTTAGGCCTTATAGTTTATTGATTAAGCTTTCAAACCTCTACAAACAAAATTGATAATTCAAGTTGGGCTAAAAACAAATTAATATTTGTTTCTATAACCTTTGGGGTTAATTGAATATGAAGCAAGAGTGTGGTGACTTAGTAAAGTTGGTAAGTTATCACACCTCCAAGCAGCAGAATAAGAGTTTAAATTTCACCAATAACAAAAATTTGAATTTACAAAATACATTTGGAAAATTATATTTTATTAAGATAGCATCTGTAATAAAGTTATATCAGCTTATATTGAGAAGCAGTAAAACATTAGTATAATATATGAGTTACATGAAATCTGAGTGAAGTTGTCAAGTAAAACCAGCAGATTGGAAATTTTTAACAGTATTACATTAGCAAAATTTTTAGAAAGACTATATATTGTTATATTAATAAATTTTATTAGTATATTTTAAAAGATTTGATTAGTATATTTTATTAGTAAATTTTATTAGTATATTTTAAAAGATTTGATTAGTATATTTTATTAGTATAATTTATATTTATTATATATATATTTTTAGCTTTAGTTTAATAATAAAATTTTTGACAAATAGTATTAATTTTAATATAATAACAGGTACATTAACTGGTATATTAACTAGTATATTAACTGGGTTGTTAAATAGATTATTAACTGAATTGTTAAATGGGTTGTTAACTGAGTTGTTAACTGGGTTGTTAACTGGATTGTTAACTAAGTTATTAACTGAATTGTTAACTGAGTTGTTAATTAGGTTGTTAACTAGATTGTTAACTAAGTCATTAACTAATAATTCAAAAGATATAAAAACACTGCCTTTTTTCCCAAGGCAGAGTAGACTGTCTTCTCTCTACTTTTAATTCTTTGTTATTTACGGTTTATTTTCTTAGAAGTGTAGTCATCGCCTATCTTCTTTTTATTGTATTTAATAAAGTTTTTATTGTATATTTAAAGTTGAATCATCGTCTCTTCTTTTTCTGTAAGTATTTATTTTTAGTATATTGAGTTGAGCCATTGCTTCTTCTCCCTTTTCTTGAGTCTTTTATTGTATTTTAAGATTAGAGCCTTTGTCTCTTTTTTTTATTTTTGGTTTATTGTTTTACTTTAAAGTCTCTTTTGGTTTTCTTTCTTATTTTATTCCTTTCTTGTTTATAAACACATTTCTTAACTCTTTTATATGTTAAGTTAAGTAGTATAGCTTTACTAAGACTCTATATTGCTATATTATAGTTTTGGTGATAACGACAGAACATAAAACTTTTTGTGTCTATTGTAATTTCTAATTAATAATTTAATAACATTTCTTTAAATTTTTTAATTTTTCTCTTATAATTTATTATTAATATTTTTTTTAGAATAAATATTCTCTTTTTTGTTATAAATAATATAAAGTGTTTTTTTCTTTATATTATTTGGAGTTTAAAGCCATATATAGTTAAAAATAGCCTGATTGTATACTATATTCAAAGATTTAAAACTCCATTTGGGATCAAATATAGTATAGCTTACCCCTTAATAAAATCTTGAAAAATTTTTATAGTAAATTAATTACTATATTTTATAATATAATCTTTTAAATTGGCTTTTTAATATTAATTAGAATATTAATTATAATATAAATATAATAAAATAACTATATAAAATTAGTAAGTTAAATAGTTTTTTAAAAGGGGTAATTTATACTACATTTGATCCCTATATTTGTGCTACTAAATTAAGCACCCAATATAACATTATACTCTCTATTTTCTATAATTACTATAATTAAATATTTTTAAATAATTAACTAGCTAGGATATGTTGGAGGAGATCTAAAGTATATATCATGGTATCAATTTATATAATTAGTTATAAAAAATCCTTGTAAAACTATTTTTTAATAAATAAAGTAAAATCTATTTGTAAAGGGTTTGTTAATACAAATATTGAAGCTTGAGGTAGTTCTACAATGAAGAATTTTTTTCATTTAATTTTAAAGGTTATATTGTAAGCTTGTTTCCATTTATGTTGAAAAATATTTTTGATAGACCATATTTCATCATAGAACCCATTTAAAAGGTTGTTAAAGTGATTAATAAAAAAAGATTTGGTTTGTTTATTTATAAGTGCTCTAATATTATCAAAAATATTAAGGGGGAAGATATCTATAATATAATATAAAATATATTTATATTGAAGATTAGAAGTGCTAGATCTAGTAAGAAAAAGGATATTAAGAATTGATAATGGTGATACTGTATATTAATTTTTAAGGCAAGTAAGGTATTAGAAATTGTATTAAATAAGAAGTTTTAGATATTAATGTTATTGTTTGGACATAGTAGTAAATAAAGATTATTTTCTATATTAGGATATTAAAAACAATTTAGAGTAGTATAAAGATAAAGATAATATAGGTGAAGGTTTCCCATAGTTGGAAGGTTATTAGTAAGGATTTTAATTCGAAATAAATATTTTGTATAGTTGTGTTCTAGAGAGTTAATAATATCAAAATAAAGTGGCTAGTTGGTTTTAAGTAATTCTCTAAATATTTTAAGAGAAAACTATGAGTAAAGTTCTTGAATTATATATACTTTTTTAATAAAAGTACATATTTTGAAAGGAATAAAATTATTATTCCAAGAGAAGTAGATTGGTAGATTTAGAAAATTGTAGTTAATTTTGAGAATTGATTTATTAGTTCTATATTTAGCAAGAAAAACAGCTTGTTTGTAGAGAGTTAAAAAAAGATTTGGTTTTGTAAAGAATAAAAGTAATATTTTTAGTAGATTTAATTTGGTTAATGATATAAATAATGTCCCAATTTTTGTTATATAATAATTTAGTAGAGTAGGTTTGTTTTAAGTTTTGGATAGCTGTATTGTTATCTAAATAAATGTTTATATGAAAATTAAATAGAGTAGCCAAAAGCAATAAGATAATTGCTTCAAGTTTTGCATGGGTTGAGTCTGGATATAGAGTAGTTGCTGCATTGAACTTAATAGCTATATTATTTTTACAGATCTAACCTATACCAGATTTAATATTTGTTGAATGCAAGTTTTGAACTGAAGCATTAGTAAAAAAGTGTAAATCTTAGGAATTAAGATTTTGAATTGATGAAAGTAAATTAGTTAGTTGATATTAGTAAGTA